TTTGCCTATAACCCATTGGCAGTAAAGGGTTTATAGTCACATCTCTGTCCCTATCTAAACAGAGAGCCAGACAGTGAAATATAAAAGTTTTCTCACTGTTAATCTGTGACTTTGATATTTTAAAACCCAAGAAAATATCCATACTCTTGAAATTTAAACAACCTTTAAAAAAAAATGGAAATGATGTAAGAATCTAGTGGCAGCATGACTCTTTTTTTCTAACTAAATAGGAAGTGTTATACAACTAACCACGGCACATGGTAAAAGGCTCTCTCCATGTTCCGTTGGATGCTATTATTTAGTATAGATTATTTTAAAGTTTTATTTTTCAGGGGAAACAATCTCATTTTCAGTTGCTGATTGTGGGAATTATATTGTGTATGTTGAAATCACAAAATACTTGAAAGAAATTGAATATTAGCTTATTCAAGATAATTTTGCTTCCTTTCCTAAGCAAATTAAACCTTATTTAAGAACTTTAAGTTAGTTATGGACAAATGAAACTGAACTTCTGATACCTTATACAATACTCTATTAGATTGTTTATTTTTTGTGAAATCAAGTGTTTTTACAGTCTTTTGTTTGAGGAAACCTTAATATTTGGATAGTCGCTTTATATAAAGACTTTCATTGATGTACAGACTTGAATATACAAAAGGTTGCATTATTACTATAGTGATAGGAATCAAAATGAAGGATCTATTTTAGAAATGTGGTTAAGCGATATTTTGATTAGAAGTCAAGTTGGTTATTTAAGAATTTAAGGCAGAAATCATTACTAGTTTACAGTTCGTTTGCATTGTTTCTTATAATGTTCTAAATATGGTTTTAGAACATCTTCCTAAGCATGCTGAGTTTCTTGGATGTTACCCTGGTAATTCTAGGCATCATTACACTGTTTAAGAGACCAGATGCCCAGTTCTGACAAGCCACAGTAAATATAGGTAGTGCTACTACTTTGTGGAACAAATCTTTTGCTTTGACTTTTAGTTTTGTGTGGAGCCTTATGTCAAAGAGACAAGAAGGGAAGGAGAGGGTATCTTGAAAGAGATAGGAAGTAAAATACAAATTGAGCCAAGCGTTTACATTCAATTGTGCGTGTGGTTATGATTTCCTAAGGAATAAAAGTATACCACTACGTTCAGAAAGTCATGTGAGTTAGAAAAAGGATAGTGCAATCTTAAACCATGAGTTTCTGACACAAATTTGGTTTAAAAAGTAAACTTTTTTGTCAACATACGCATATGAATTTTCTTATTTATTAAACTACCATCTGCTGTGCTGGGACTCTGCCAGGTGTGAGGAATACAAGATATGCGTTGCTTAAGTATGAAGTTAATATAGCAACAGTATAGAGAAAGAACTACGTAATGAGAAGACAGCCAGATAAGCAATTTCAGTGAAGTATAAGAGGTGCTTTGTTTAGGGAAAGTGCATGGCAGACAGAATGCAAAACTTCATGATTCACAGGCCGTTGGGTAGCCTACTCAGAAGGGCGTTGCTGCTGTAGTGGGGAATAATTATTCCTAGACTGTCTGCTACTCTTGTCCCACCTACAGTATCTTAAAAGTGAGAACCAAAAGGATTATATTTATAGGGATATAAAAATATCCAGTGCCAAACAAAGTAAAATTCATAATGTCTGGCATTCAGTCAAATATTACCAGGCAATGCAAAGAAACAGGAAAATCTGACTCATAATAAGGAGGAAAAGCAATCAAAACCAATCCAGAACTGACATAGATATTAGACTTAGCAGACAAGGACATTAAAACAGTTATTATAATTTTCTGTATCTTCAAAAAGAGGAAAGATTGAACGTGTTTGGTAGAAATATGGAATGTGTAAAAAGAAGCAAATGAAAATTCTAAAGATGGAGAGTACACTGGATGGAATTAATGGCATATTAGACATTGCAGAAGCAAAGATTAGTAAACTTGAAGACTTAGCAATAGAATTTATGAAAAATGAAACAGAGAGAGAGAGGGAAAAAACTAAAAAAGAAGAAGAAGAAAAGTAGAGCAGTAGTGAGCTGTGGGACAACCAAGCAGCCTGATATACTTGGAACTGGAGTCACCAAAGGAAAGTAGAGAGCTGGAAAGACAGAAAAAATATTTACAGAGATCCTTTTGATGAAAAGTGTAAATTTAGAGACTGAAGTTTTTCACAGAACCCCAAGCACAAAATAAAAATGAAGAAAAAAATACACAAGTGCACGTGATAATCAGATTGTTCAAAACCAGTGACAAAGACAAAAATTTTAAAACCAGCCAGTGGAAAAGTCATGTTTATACAGAATAAGAAAGATAAGAATTCTAGTAAATTTCTTGTCAAAAACAAAACAAGTGAGAAGACAGTGGAACAACATCTTTAAAGTACTGAGTCGGCGGGGGATGGGAATCAATCTAGAATTCCATACTCAGTGAAAACATCTTTCAAAAACAAAGGCAAAATAGAGACTTTTGAGACATACAAAAGCTGAAAGAATCCATCACTAGCAAACTTGTCTAAAATACATCCTTGAGGAAGTCCTTGAGGCAGAAGAAAATGACACTGAAAGGAAATACGGATCTATACAAAGAAGACAGAAAATTGGAAATTGTAACTGTGAAAAAATGTATAAGATGTTTTCATTATTATTCCAATCTCATTAAAAGGTAAATGACTTTAAAAAATAACAGTGCAGTGTGTGGTTTATAACACATGCAGATGTACACTGTATGACAACAATAATATAAAGGCTGGAAGGAGAGAAATGGAAATATACTGTTATAAGGTTCTATATGCTATTCATGAAGTGGTTGAGTTTTCTTGAAGATAGACTATGATAAGTTAAATATGTATACAGTATAAATATGTATACTGTAAACCCTAGAACAACCACTAAAATAAAACCGAGAGCTAATAACCCATCAAAAGAAATGACAAGAAATTATTAAAAAACATTCAGTTAGGAGCCAGCCCCGTGGCTGAGTGGTTAAGTTCGCGCACTCTGCTTCAGTGGCCCAGGGTTTCCCAGGTTCAAATCCTGGGTGCAGACATGGCCCCGCTCATCAGGACACGCTGAGGTGGCATCCCACATGCCACAACTAGAAGGACCCACAACTAAAAACACACAACTATGTACTGGGGGTTTTGGGGAGAAAAAGGAAAAATAAAATCTTAAAAAAAAAATTCAGTTACTCTAGAAGAGGGCAGAAAAGAGGAAAAAGGGAACAAAGACTAGATGTCACAAATAACAAGATGATAGATTTAAGCCTAAACGTATCAAGAATCACATTAAGTATAAATGATCTAAACACCTCATTTTAAAAGCAGAGATTGTCAGTGGATGAAAAAGCAAGTGCCAGCTGTATGCTGCCTACAAGAAACCCACATTAAATGTCAAAAAACAAATAGATGAAAAGTAGAAAGAATGGAGAATACTAATCAAAACAAAGTGGGTGCGGCTATATTAATGTCAGAAAAAGATTTCAGAGCAAAGAAATATAGCCAGGGATATAGCGGGTCATTTCATAATAGTTAAGAGGTCAAAGAAATTTTCATGTGTGTGTGTATATGTATGTACACACACAATGAAACATTATTCATCCTTAAAAAAGGAGGACCACCATTTGCAACCACATGGATGAACGTGGAGGACATTATGCTAAGTGAAATAAGCCAGACACTGAAAGAAAAAAACTGCATGATCTCACTTTTATGTAGAATGTAAAAAAAGTTGAATACATATAAGCAAAGAGTGGAACAGTGATTACCAGGGGTGAGGAGGTATGGAATATGGGGAGATTTGGGTCAAAAGGTACAAAGTTGGAGTTACATAAGGCGTATAACTCTAGAGATCTAATGTACAGCATGATGACTATAGTTAATACTGTATTGAATACTGGAAATTGGGTAAAAGAGTAGATTTCAGGTGCTCTCATCACAAAAAAATATTGTAACTATGTGATGAGATGATGTATTAATTAGCTTGACTGTAGTAATCATTTCACTGTGTATATGTATAATAAATTATTGTGTTGTACACCTTAAATATAAACAATTTCAATTAAAAAAATTTTAATAGTAAAGAGGTCAGTTCATCAAGAGGATATAGTAATCTTAAACATTAATGCACCTATGAAGAGAGCTTCAAAATACAGGAGGTAGAAACTGGTAGAACTGTAAAAAGAAATAGAAAAATCCACAACTGTATTTGAAGATACCACTCTATCAATAATTGATAGAAAAAAATAGATAGAAAATCAGTAAGGATATGGAATGTGGAAACAACACTTAACTAATTTGTCCTAATGGACATGTATACAACACTCTACCCATAACAGCAGAATATAGCACTCTTTTCAAGTGCATGTTAAATATTCACCAAGATAAGCAGTATTCTTGGCCATAAAACCAGTTTCAATAAATTTAAAAGGATTCTAGTCATACAAACTATCTTCTCTGACCAGATGGAATTAATTTAGAAACTAATAACAGGAGGATATTTGGAAAATCCCCAAATATTTGGAAATATTTTGAACTGTGTGAAAATGAGAAATAAAATATAAAAACTTGTGGGTTCCCACTACAGCGATACTTAAAGGAAAATTTACAGCAATAAACACCTGTATTAGGAAGAAGGGTCTCAAATCAATGACTTAGCTTCATCTTCAAGCAAGTAGAAGAAAATAGCAAATAAAACGAAAGTAAGAAGGAAAAAGGATGTAATAAAGATCAGAGTAGAAATTAATGAAATAAAAAACAAAAACTGTAGAGAAAATAAATGAAACCAAAAGTTGATTTTTTGAGATCAATGAAATTGATAAATCGTAGCTAGATTGATCAGAAAAAAAAGACAATAACCAATATCAGGGATGAGAGTGACGGCATTATTACAGATTCTGTATATATTAGAAGATAATAAAAACTTCATGCCAATAAATTCTACAACTTAGATGAAATGGACAAATTCCTTGAAAGATACAAGTTGTCAAAGCCCACTCAAAAAGAAATTGATTGCTTCTTGGCCTTTTGGCTAAGATCAAGTGTAGTATCTCTTCTTACCAGTTTAATATCTGATATGTCCTCTGTCCAAGGACGATGTATTAAATGAATTTTTGAAGCAGGGAGATGGCATAGGAGCTTGCTTTGTCTACTCCACGCATCCACCTGCTATTGCAGTTCTCCTTCAGGGGGATAACTGAGGTTTGAATAAAAGACCTTTACTAAAAAAAAAAAAGAAAAAGAAATCAATAATCTGAATAGCTCTTTATTTGTTAAAGGAATTGAATTTTTATGTAAAAACTTGCCCACAAATCAAAATTCAGACCCAAATGGCTTTATCAGGAAGAAATAATACCAATTCTACATAAACTTTTCCAGAAAGTTAAAGAAGAGAGAATACTTCCCAACTCATTCTACAAGGTCAGCGTTATCTTGCCGCCAAAATGAGACAAAGACATCCTAGTAAAGAAAACCAAGAACCAGTATCCCACATAAATGTAGATGCAAAAATTCTTAACAAAAATTAAACAAACATAATCCAACAGTTATAAAGAGGATGTTGTACACTAAGAGGAAGTGGAGTTTATCCCAGGAATGTAGGTTGGTTTAACATTTGAATATCAGTCAATGCAATGTGTCATCTCAGTAAACACCGAAAAAGCGTTTGACAAAATCCAACATTCATTGTTTGTAATTCACAGCAAACTGAGAATTAAAGAGAACTTCCTCAATAGGATAAAATCCAGCACTGACATACTATTTTCGTGGTAAAATACTGAATGTTTTACCCTGGCAGTCAACAATAAAGCAAGTGTGTCAATTTTTACTACTTCCATTCAACATCATACTGGAGGTTCTAGCCACTGCACTCAGGCAAGAAAAAGGGAAAAAAGGCAAACAGAAAAGAAGAGGTAAAATTGTCTTTATTTGCAGGCAACATGATCATCTATATAGAAAACCTAAGGTGGAAAAGGGCAGTGATGTGATACGAAGCTCAACAGGTAAATAGGGGCCAGGCTATGAAGGTTTTTTAATCTACAATAAGGGGTGCCCAGAGTTTCATAAGGGCAATTCATAACCATTAAACATTTTTTACATTTTTCAGATTTGCAGTTAGAGAGTGTATTTTGATTGCATTGTGGAACATCTGTTGAGGACTTCCTTAAGACTCAAGACAGAGACTTTAGATAGAAGTCTTTGGAAATAGAAATAATATAGATGCAAGATGATAGTTGCCTACACTAAGGCGGTAATGGTAGAGATGGAGAGATGTGAACAGATTTGATAACTGTTCAAAGATGGAATTGACAGAACCTTTACTGCATGTGGGGGATGGGGTATAATGAGGAATGCAGCACGACTCATGTGTTTCAGGCTTGGGAAACTGGATAGGTAGTAGAACTGGTCTGTGAGATAGGTAACATGGGAGAAGGAATAAGGTTGGGGGTAGGAGGTGGGAAGATGAGATGAATTGTAGATATGTGGAGCTCGAAGTGCTTTTCGATAGCCAAGCGATGATGTGCTAGAGGCAGTTTATACAAATATCTGCGTAAGGAGACAAGTTTGTTTGTTTGTTTGTTTGTTTTTATTTTTTTAAGTTTGAGTTCATAATAGTTTACATCATTGTGAAATTTCAGTTGTACGTTACTTGTCTGTCACCACATAAGTGCTCCCTTTCACCCCCTCTGCCCACTTCTCACCCCCCTTCCCCTGGTAACCACTGAACTGTATTTTCTTTGTCCACGTGTTTGTTCGTATCCCACATATGCGTGAAATCATCTGGTGTTTGTCTTTCTCAGTCTGGCTTATTTCACTTAGCATAATTCCCTCCAGGTCCATCCATGTTGTTGGAAATGGGATGATTTTGTCCTTTTTATGGCTGAGTAGTATTCCATTATATATATGTATATACCACATCTTCTTTATCTAATCATCAGTCATTGGGCACTTGGATTGTTTCCATGTCTTGGCTATTGTGAATAGTGCTGAAATGAACATAGGGATACATATTTTACTTTGGATTGTTGATTTCAAGTTGTTTGGGTAGATACCCAGTAGTGGGATAGCTGGGTCGTATGGTATTTCTATTTTTAGTTTTTTGAGGAATCTCCATACTGTTTTCCATAGTGGCTACACCAGTTTGCATTCCCACCAGCAGTGTATGAGGGTTCCCCTTTCTCCACACCAATAACAACACCTGTTATTTTTACTTTTAGTGATTTCAGCCATTTTGACAGGCATAAGGTGGTACCTTAGTGTAGTTTTGATTTGCATTTCCCTGATGGTTAGTGATGTTGAACATCTTTTCATTTGTTTATTGGCCATCTGTATATCTTCTTTGGAAGAATGTCTGTTCACATCCTCTGCTCATTTTTTGATCAGGTTGTTTGTTTTTTTGTTGTTCAGTTGTGTAAGTTCCTTATATATTATGGAGATTAACCCCTTACCGGATATATGATTTGCAAATATTTTCTCCTGAGTGGTGGATTGTCTTTTTGTTTTGATCCTGATTTCTTTTGCCTTGCAGAAGCTCTCTAGTCTGATGAACTCCCACTTGTTTATTTTTTCTTTTGTTTCCCTTGTCTGAGAAGATGTGGTATTCAAAAAGATCCTTTTAAGTTGTATATCAAAGAATGCACTACCTATATTATCTTCCAGGAGTTTTATGGTTTCAGGACTTATCTTCAAGTCTTTGATCCATTTTTAGTTTATTTTTGTGTGTGGCATGAGATAATGGTCTACTTTGATTCTTTTGCTTGTGGCTGTCCAGTTTTCCCAGCACCTTTTATTGAAGAGACTATCTTTTCTCCATTGTATGTTCTGGCACCTTTGTTGAAGATTAGCTGTCCATATATGGGTGGTTTTATTTCTGGGCTTTCAGTTCTGTTCCATTGATCTGTGTGTCTGTTGTTGTACCAGTACCATGCTGTTTTGATCACTATGACTTTGTAGTACATTTTGAAGTCAGGGATTGTGATGCCTCCAGCTTTGTTCTTTTTTCTCAGGATTGCCATAGCAATTCAGGGTCTTTGCCCCATATGAATTTTTGGATTCTTTGTTCTATTTCTGTGAAGAATGTCATTGGGCTTCTGATTGGGATTGCATTGAATCTGCAGATTGCTTTGAGTAGTATGGACATTTTGACTATGTTTATTCTTCCAATCCATGTGCATGGAATCTCTTTCCATCTCTTTATGTTGTTGTCTCTTTCTTTCAGTATTGTCTTATAGTTTTCATTGTATAAGTTCTTCCCTCCTTAGTTAAATTTATTCCTAAGTACTTTATTCTTTTTGTTGCGATTGTAAATGGAATTGTATTCTTGAGTTCTCTTTCTGTAAGTTTGTTATTAGAGTACAGAAATGCAACCGAGTTTTGTAAGTTGATTTTGTACCCTACAACTTTACTGTAGTTGTTAATTATTTCTATTAGTTTTCCGATGGATTCTTTAGGGTTTTTTGTATATAAGATCATGTTGTCTGCAAACAGTGAGAGTTTCACTTCTTCACTCCCTATTTGGATTCCTTTTGTTCCTTTGTCTTGCCTAATTGCTCTGGCCAAAACTTCCAGTACTATGTTGAATAAGAGTGGCGATAGTGGGCATCCTTGTCTTGTTCCTGTTCTCAGAGGGATGGCATTTAGTTTTTCCCCATTGAGTTGATGTTAGCTGTGGGTTTGTCATGTATGGCCATTATTATGTTGAGGTAATTTCCTTCTATCCCCATTTTGTTAAGAGTTTTTTATCATAAATGGATGTTGCATCTTGTCAAATGCTTTCTCTGCATCTATTGAGATGATCATGTGGTTTTTATTCCTCATTTTGTTAATGTGGTGTATCATATTGATTGATTTTCGGATGTTGAACCATCCCTGTGTCGTAAGGAGACAAGTTTTGAAGTGAAGTAATAGATGGGAAGATACCAGATGATAATTGAAGCCATGGGAATGGAAAAAATTGCCTTGGGAGAGGATGTAATACGAGTAGAAAGTGGGCTTGGGAGAGAAACCAGTTTATAAAGGAAGAGGGACATGAAAGTGAGATTAGGAAGGGTGAATCAAAGGGGTAAGGGAAAAACCTAGAGAAAGTGTTATGGAAAGAGATGCTTTTGGAAAGGAGAAAGAGGGTAATATTGTCAAATGCTGCTGAGAGATGTCTTAACTAGCAATTATATAGAGGTTACTATGGACCAAGCACTGTTGTAAACAGTTTTGCATGTATTCATTTAATTTTCTCAACAATCCTTTGGGCCAGATATTGTTAGATCTCAATTTTGCAGATGAGAAAAGTTAGGTACAGAGAACTCAAGTGACTTGTCCAAGAACGTGCATAGCTAGTAAGTGACAGAATCCAGATTTGTACTCATGCAATTTGACTTTATAATTTGTGCTCTTGACCAGCAACATAAAAGAGAAAAGTGACAAATGGATTTAACAATAAGGCTTTCACTGATAACTTTAGTCAGTTTTAGTGGATCAATGGGGGCAAAAATCTGATTGGAGTAGAACAAGGAATGTATGAGAAAGGGGAGGTGCAAACAATTCTTTCATGAAACTTGGGTGTGAAAAGGAAGAGTAGGGACAATAGGAGAATGCTGTTTGAAATTTAGGAAGGGCTTTCTTAAGATTTGCAGAACTTAAATAAGTTTAAATACTGATGAGAGCAGGTAAGTGAAGAGAAGGGTTGAAGAGACGTGGGAGTTGGGGGGGGACACAGAGAGCGTCTGAACAAGATGAAAAGGCAGTAGTGAATGGGATCCATAGCAAATATAAATGGAGGGCCCCCAGGAGGGGTAAGACCTCTTTTATTGTCACAGTGGGGAAGAAGGAAAGCATGGATGTGGATGCATATAAACTTGTAGGTTTCCTGCTGTTCCAACTCCTTCAATCTCAATTTCTCTCTCTCTCATAGATTTGAAACAGAGATGAGAATTCTCTGTGTCAGCAAGTTACTGCCCATTTAACTTGGACTTCTGTTGGCTAACGGGGAGAGGGAAGAGCATCCTTCTACTTTGCTATTGAAATACAGGTTTCTAACACTGAGCTGGGGAAGTCTTTCTGGTACTCGCATGGAGGACTTTCTACCACTTTTGAAGAATCACATTTGCAATTACCACAAAACGAACATACTACTTGGTATTCCGTACTGGGGTAATTCTGTATTGATAGAAAAGGTCAAGTATAAAGATAATGTGCAAAATATTCAG